ATGATAAAAGTCTTGTTAGAAAATTGAGAAACTCAACTACAAGTTGAATAATACCGAAAACGCAATGATCTTAATAAATAATTGTATCTATGATAGTCTAAACTCTATATATGTATATATATATATATATATATATATATATATATATATATATATATAAACTAAAAATAAAAATATAAAATTTTGCAAATTTGACGGGGGGAGATTTTCTAAAATGTTGACCGGGGCAGAGTAGCAACATTTGTCGCTGACGAACTTTTTTAGGCTTATAATGTAATTTTAAGATGGCTTGCAGCCCGCCGGCCGTAGTTTGCCCATTCCTGCCTTAAAGTATTGAAAAGAATATTGTTTGATAAAAAATTGCGCTGTAAAACAATGCTGACATTAATGATGTATCGTTAATGACGGGCAAACAATCTCACTTGAAGTTGACGTTGATGTCGTTCAATGAAAACTTTTCGATTTCCAACAACTTAGATGAACATGCATCTACACGAGCTAAGCAGAGTTAACAAACCATAAACAAACTGCGATGTTTTGTTCTAAATGTTTTACCACAATGATCAGATTTTTTTAATGATTTTTTGTGAGTCATTTAAATATTATTTATCAAATAAAATTGTTCATTGTTACACAAACTTTGCTCAATTCAGATCGGCATTTTCACTAACACCATAGAACAATGACATAATCATCTTAGAAATATTAACGGCACGGAGAAACATGATTAAATTAACGACAAACCTAACAAAACATTCTGGATTCGTGGCTTCGTAAAGAGAGCCAACCAAATGCGACCCATCTCACTGATGGTCATCTGCTCGCGTCCGTGATGGCTCTGGTACTCCATCTTCACGTGCACTTCAGTCATGCTGTCCTGCAGTGCATGGTTTAATCAAAATTAACTTTCAAGGTGAGTAATTGAAACAGCTTATTCCAATGAAGAAGTTTAAAAGGGAGTTAAAAAATAAAAAAAATTGAAATAAAATAAAACGTTGAAGTAATAAAAGGAAAAACATTTTAGTAAAAAACACTATCAGATTTCTTTCTTTTTTTTAAATTTTAGTACAATTTTAGTACAAAACCAAGCACGGGAAGTCAATTATACAACTAAAATTGAATGAAATTTTTTTAAATAATTTAATTAAATTAACGCTCATCGGATTGGACAAGATTGTTGGATAGCTTATCCTAAAATGCACCTGCCCTGAAAAATTCAGCCGGCTAGGTGCATCTGAGGTGGTCAAAAATTGTAAAAGAGAACATCAATGACAACCTGACAGAAAGTAAAAAAGGGGCAATAAAATGAAATAAAAAATTATTTAAAAAACGAACGGAAAGGTAGTTGTTAGCCATGTATCGATGTTTGATGAGGACCTTGCAGCCGTTCACATTCCAGTACGAGTAAGCCACGTTGTCACTGCCCACGGCTAAATTCAATATTAAATGGGATGAACATAAAATGTTGGCAATTAACAGTTAATAAATAATTAATAAGTGAATAACACAGAGACATTTTAGAAGAAAAGTTGTAGCCATAGCTGCATACATTGCTGCAACACATAAGAAATATCGCTCATAAAAAATAATGTGATGTTTGGTAACAAATGAATGTACTAACTGAGTTTTGTATCCAAAAGATGATCCTGAAACATTTTTTGCAGTTCATTGTGTTGTTGATGATGATGTTGTTGTTGCTGGTGTTGAAGAGAATGCTGCAATTGATTTTGTTGAGACGGTTGCAGATTTTGTAGCTGGTGTTTGGGTTGATGTTGAGAAAGTTGCAGGAAACACTGAATTGATTGAGAAAGTTGCTCAAGAAATTGTTGATTGTCGATATGTAATTGTTGAGGAAGATTGGAATCAATGTTTTGATTGGATGCAAAAGTACAGGATGCATTGTGAGCAAAATTCTCAATTTTTGTATTTGGAAAAAAATTGGACCCATTATTTGTAACATCATTGATGTTTTCAAACCGTGAGTCAGCAGCGCATAGATGGTTAAACGTCTGGCGTCGTTCGTTTGGTGCCACATCGGAGAAGCTGCTACTGAGCATCAGTGGTGTGTGTGGATTTGCAGCAGAAGGTATTTGAGATGACGAACAAGAGGACGGCGGTAGTATTGATAATGGTAATGATGTTGGTGGTGATGACGTTAACAATAATGATGATGATGATGGAGATAAAGATGCTGGCAATGATGACGACGTTTTTGATGATGATAACTTCAGCAATGGCAATGAAATCGTTGGTGGCTCTGGTGATGATGCTTTAAAAGATTTTGTTATTAGTGATGACGTTTCACTATTATTGCAACAAGCTTCAACGTTATTATCTTCCTCCCTACTTCTTTTCCTCTTCCTGTCATTACTGCCTACCTCAGAAGTTCTCCTCTCAACGGACTTCTGCTTCATGGCCAGACGATTAGACCTTCGTTTGTTCGGTGCTGCCACAACCTCCTCCTCCTCCTCCTGCTGCTTCTCACAAACATTTTTTTTATGATTAGCGACGTCATCAACACCTCTCTCATCTGAGTTTCCGTCAAATGATTGGATTGGAGACAATGGCAGTGTCGACAGAAGTTGATTGGCAGTTACATTTCCTTCCTCACCCACTATCAACTGTTCCTTCTTTATTTCATCATCATCTATTGAGGGACCGTCAACAAGTGCACTCGGAGAATCAACATGATCATTGACGTGGCGACTATTGGTGGGAGGGGAGTTGATGTTGTCTGTGACGATGACCAGTTTTTCGTCATCATCTTCTTCTTCACTGGCTTCATTAGCAATCCCATTTGCAGAAGAAAGAAGATCATCAGATAACTGTTCATCATTTTCAAAATGTATGGATGAAATTAGACCTTTACGATCCCCATCCACTTCTAAGTCATTGTTCTCATTGATTTTAACAAATTTTTCAGAAAAATTATTTTTTGTTATATTATCTTCACTTGCGTTCAACAAAATTCCTCGTTCCAACTCCGTGATATCCATCGAGCAATCGCTAAACAAATCGTCGTCATTATGGCCATCGTCATCATCATTAATACCATCGTTACTAGCTTCATCGTCGTCGTTATCACTCGAACTATTATCACCATCATCGTCATCACCTTCGTCAGCACTGTTTTCCTTCTTCCTATCAGTTATGACGTCAGCAAACCCGGCAGCAGCAGCAACAGCGGCGCCGAGGTGATAACTCGGCAGCGAGGTTGGTTGCCTGATGATCTCCCCCATGAGAAACTCATGAATGCACGTGGATTGTTGCGGGGGGGTCATGTTGGTGGGGGGCAAGGGGTCGTCCATGATCACCGTGCAGCCTGGCTTTGTGCCACCACCTGTCGTTGCCGTTGTTCATCAACCATCGTTCACTCACGTCCACCATTCATTCAATTGTTGTTGAGTAATTATTATTAGTATTATAATTATTATTATATATTATTGTTATTGAGTAATTATTATTATTATTATAATTAATATTATATATATATAATTGTTATTAAGTAATCATTATTATTATAATTAATATTATTAACTTGTTGGTCAAAAATTGTTGACAACATGTCCGGGATACATTACAGATTTGTGAGAAAATACATAATTCAACAACTGCCCACAAATTCAAATCTGGTCAAATGGGGCAAAACCACAACTCCCTTGTGCCTACTGTGTAACGTTCGACAAACAAACAAGCATGTAGTGTCTAACTGTGGTTCAACATCGGCTCTGAAGAGATACACAGATAGACATAATAAAGTACTGGCGTTGATGATGGACGAGTTGAAGTTACAGGCTCCAAACGATTGCTGTTTGTTTGCAGATTTGGAAAGGGAAGGCATTCGTCCAATGTCACTCCTATTCAACACGTTACGACCAGACATTGCCATTTTGAGGGACAATAAGATTGAAATATTAGAACTGACGATATGCCATGAAACTAATCTAATTTCATCGAAACAATATAAACAACAAAAATATAAAAATTTAAATGCATATAAAAGAATATAAAGATTGTTCTATAATAATTAATACATTTGAATTGTCGCCAATTGGTTTATGTAATAATTTTAATCTATCGATATTTAAATTTACATGGTCAATACCGTTCAACTTTAAATTAATAAACAGTGTTATTAGCTCGTCATATGGAATTTATTGTGGCAGAAACATTGCCTAATGCTATTTTAAATATAACTTACACCCATGCACTTGCAGGGGCGGATCCACCGGGGGGGCCTGGGGTGGCCGGGCCACCCCATGCCCTTGCACCGGCCCCCCCACCGCAAAATAACAACATTTCAATATGCCCCTATTGCCCCAAAACATCGATTTACATAGAGTTTGATATTGCAATTGCGCGAAATATTTTGAATACTATAAAACAAAACATGTGCATAAAATGTGTGCATTAATTTTTACCGATCCGATCTAGATATTTTAATACTCTTTTATAATAGAACTTTTAGCACATCGCTATTTTGTTATCTGTTCTGCTTTTGAACCGTTCCATGGAAACTGTTTACTGATCTTTATTAAATCACTTAACACATTACACATTTCTGTAATTATCCAATATTCTAATAATGCCGACTGAAGAGAGAAATAGAAAACGGAAAGAAGAGTTAATTAATCAAGCCGCCGCTAAATGTTCTCGATTAAATCAGTTTTTTAGGTTGGTCAATCTTTCTTTCTGTTTCTATTCATCTTTCTTAAAACATTAAACTGTAAACAATAAACATAAACATCATAATCATAACATAGTTTGTTACTTATTATACAAATAAATATTTATATTTTAATTTTGTTTGCAAACCAAACACCAGTCGCCCAAATTGCTGATTTTCTCTTTCAAGTGCCGTTTTTGTATTTTATTCATAAATATTATTCCTGGCGAAGTTTTAAATAAAAAATGAAGGCTCGGATAATTAATTTTTGGTTTTTAAGAGTTTGTGCGTGTGGTTTTTGGATTATACACAGTTCGATAACGTTTTATTATATAACATCTTAATATTCAACAAAAATAAATTATCAGTTTTATTTAAATTAATTATAGAGCGACAACTGATACCGCCGAATTTATTAATGAAATGCCAACTACAAGTAAAATTTCTGTTGCATCTTCAAGAACAAATATCCACGTGTCTAATGAAATGGAGGTTAACTCCTCCCAGAGTGAGCATCATCTTTGTGATGACAGTGATAGAGATAGCTATTATAGTGATGACATTTTAACAGATGAACTAA